AATGTTGTGGTTGTGGATAGGGTGAGGAAGGCGGCGGCGGAATCAAATATGATATTTTATAATTAACTGTTTAATCAGACACAAGATACTTATACAAAGCTGTACTAAACGGACCGGACACAACTTATGTACTTGAGAATGACCACAGACAACTTAGCATAGATAATATAATATAAAGTGTTCGAATACACCACACTCTCCCCTTACAAATTTAATCTATTTGGAGGACGGACTATTCTACTGGACTTCCTAACTGGAACTAGGGTTCTCGGTTGAGGCTCGGTAACAGGAGCGAGGACCTCTGAACTCTGTACAGAGCTTGGTACAGTACTACAACTAGGATTTTCTACATTAGGTTGAGACACATGGAATGGAATTACACTTGGAATAACTGGACAAGGACCATTCTTCTCCTGGGAGAAATATGGTTTACAACTTGGTACAGATTTTTTATCCAAACTACTAAACAAAGGTGCGAAACACAATTGATTTAAATGCGCCTTTTTCAGAACACCGTTTACAGAAATTAAATACATCATGGGACTTAAAATTCTTACAATAGTACCTTTTACTGGTTTATTTTGACCAAAACGAACTAAAATTAAGTCATTTTCACGAAAATGACCTGAATGTAATGACACATTTTTACTGTTATGAATAGGATTTAACATTGTAATTTTTGTTCTAGGTTTAAACATAAATAACATAGCATTAGGTGACTTTACATTTACAGTTGTTTCAGTATTTCTATAAGACATCAGAAAATTATACAGTTTTAACTCCAAATCTGATTTATTATTTTTACTATCTAACATAATTCTCTTAAGACCTTTTTTAACAATCTGTACATTCCTTTCAGCTAACCCATTGCTTTGGGGGTGATACGGTGGTGACTTACAAACTTTGATGTTATACTTTGTGCAAAAATCAATAAACAATGTAGAATCAAATGGTGGACCATTATCAGACACTAATTGACATGGTAACCCTACAAATGAGAAAATTGAAGTTAACTGTTTAATAACTTCTATAGCTGAGCAATTGCTCATCTTCCTTACATCAATCCATTTAGAATAACTATCACAATACATCAAAAAGTGTTCTTTTTCAAACTCAAAAAAATCAATATGAACTCTTTCGAACGGTTTGTTTGTTTGAGGCCATGGAATAGTTGTATTATCCGACTTAAAATTAACAGCTGCACATGACTCGCAGGATTTACATTTATTCTCAATATCAGTAGACATATTAGGCCACCAAAATGAAGATCTGGCCAGTAACTTAGTTCTTACAATTCCAGGATGTCCTTCATGCAATAAGTCTAACACTTTTGCTTGACATTTCGGAGGGACTATCACCCTTGAACCAAACAATAAGCAATCATCAACTACATTTATGTAAAAACGCATTCTAAAATACGGCAAAATTGCTGGATCGTTCATATAATTAGGCCATCCTACCTTAACATAATCTAATACTTTACTCAAAACACAATCTTTTGCAGTTTCACATGCTATATCAACATGAGACATGGGTAATTCTAATAAGACACTTTCATTAATATGACTTGAATTATCTATAACTATTTTATTAATTGGAAGCCTTGACAAGGCATCTGCATGGCATAGTAAGTCACTTTTTCTATGTTGAATATCATAATTATAACTTGACAATATTAATGCCCAATGTTGCAATCTGTGAGTTGCCAACGTTGGTACATTTTTACTAGGATGAAAAATATGACGAATTGGAGCATTATCAGTTATTAAGGTAAACTGTCTACCCCATAAATATTTATGAAACTTAGTCACAGCATAAATAATACCTAAGGCTTCTCTATCTAACTGTGAATAATTCTGTTGAACTTTAGTTAATGAACATGATGCAAATGCAATTGGTTTTTCCATCAATTTATTATTTCCTTTTTTAATGGCATGACATAATACTGCACCTAGACCCACTGGACTGGCATCTGTAAATAGTACTAATGGAAGTGAGGGATCATAATGAACCAATATATCACTATTCAATAATTTTTGTTTAGATAACTCAAATGATTGTTGATGTAAATCAGACCAATTCCACTTAACATTCTTTTCTATGAGTTCTCTCAATGGTTTGGTTAAAGTACTTAAATTTCCAATATAGTTATTATAAAAGTTCAACATTCCTAAGTATGAACGTAACTCTTTGACATTTTCAGGTTTTTTACATTTTACTATAGCCTCGACTAATGATTTACTCGGTTTCCTACCTTCCTTACAAATAACATGACCCAAATATTCGACAGACTCTGAGAACCATGTACATTTTCCCTCTTTCACTTTGACATTATATTTATCTAATCTTTCCAACACTTTTCTAACTGTATCTAAACAATCTTTCATATTGTTTCCTTTTATCAGAATATCATCTATATAACAACATGTATTTGGAATCCCTGACAGTATTTGATCCATAATCTTTTGAAAAATCGCTGGTGCTGATGCAATACCATATATGAGACGAGTAAATCTATATAATCCTTTATGTGTATTAATTGTTAGCAAAGGTTGACTACTTTCACTAACAATAAGTTGTTGGTACGCATCTGTCAAATCCAAAACTACAAAAACTGATCCACCTGACATAGTAGCAAACACATCCTCTGCTTTAGGCAATGGATAGATATCAATATTCAAATTAGGATTGACCGTTTTCTTGAAATCGACACATAACCTGTATGAACCATCATTTTTCTTTACTGGAACGATGGGTGAAGCCCATTCTGAATGATTTACTTTAAATATCTTACCATCTTTTTCCATTTTATCTAAGGACTCTGACACTATGTTGACAATATTATAAGGCAACTGGTACGGTTTCTGAAAAACCGGAGTATAATTATCTTTTAAGTTTAAGGTTGCTTGGAAATGCTTAATACTTGTATCTGACTCTTTATTAAAAACATTACTATATTGACACTTCAGTTGTTTAACTAAATTTGACACATTCGACTCTGACACATTGATATTTTTTGACATATTATGCAACTGACTCACTTTTACACTGGACTGATTAATATTTTCTTTACCAAACTGGCTGACATTATTTGACATGACACACTGAGAATCACCAACATTCCCTAATAATTTACTTCTCCAAGCAGGTAACAACTCATCTAACCAATCTCTTCCCAACAATGGAATAAACTCCCTACCCTGAGAACACACAATAACTGTTAGATCTGTACTTTTATTTTGGTAATGCACTTTGACATTTAATAGACCTGCTATTTCTATTTTCCCTGTTATACAATTTAACTTAATGTTTGTAGGTTGTAATTTGTGTTGATTAAAATATTTTAAATACAATGAGTAAGGAAACAAAGACACTGCTGCACCAGTATCTATTTCCATTTGTAACATGACATTTTCTACTTGCATTTTAACAATTTGTGACTCAGACTTTTTACTGTTAAACATTATTTGTGAAATAGTATTCATATTTAATTCCTGCAACATACACTCTACCTCCTCATCATCCACGACACCTTCCTTTACTATACAGTTGTGAATAAATCTATTCTTACACTTATATGATATGTGACCGACCTTTTTGCACTTGTAACACTGCCATTCCCTCGCAGGACACGTATGTGGGTTGTGGTTCCTTCCACACCTGTAACACTCTTCATTTACATAAACACTTGATGACTGACCTCTGTTATGGACATTCTGTCGCTGACTAAATTTACTGGAATATGCTGGACCTCTACTTTGTTGAACTGAGACTGGAACTTGCATTGGACTTCGGCTGATTCCATTTGGAACTCTAGACTTGACTGGAACATGACTTGATTGCACTGGGACTCGACTTGACTGATATTGACTCGACTTATACTGTTTTGACTGATATCCACTTTTACTATTCCTGTAGTTTACTTTGTTTACATTATTATGTCCATTACTTTCTTGTAATGATAACACTTGATTTTGAATTGTTTCTTCTTGTAAGCATATCTCTTTAGCTTTTTCATATGTTAAATTTTGTGTACTCAACAATTTCCTTCTTATGCTCTCCGAGCGTAAACCACATACTAACTGGTCTTTTAAGACATCATAAATTTGGACTTCTGTATATTTACATTTGCTAGCGATTTCTTGCAGGGCTATAATATAATCCGTGACAGACTCATTGTCGTTCTGCATGCGTCGATGAAAAATGTACCTATTTGTAGCTTCTAAACCTGGAGGCTCATGCTTTATTTCCAAAATTTGACACAACTCTTCTATTGACTTTTCTTTGGGCTTTCCTGGCAAGCACGTGCTATGGAGTATGCTATAATTTGCGGCTCCTATGTGGGTCAAGAACAATGACTTTTTTACGGACTCATCTTTTACTTTGTTTAGACTACAATACTCATCAAATAACTCCCTCCAGCAAATCCAACTCATGTTCTTATCGTACGGCGGCAAGACACCTATAAATGCACTGACTGCCATTTTGTTTTTCAATCTTTCACTAACGTGTTAATGCTGGTCTTTACGCTGAGTTTGCTCACCCTCTCGTCGCCAATATTGTCTATTCGCTTTCGCCTTGAAAAGGTCAAGTCGTAACGTTCAGGGAACAAGTCTGCCTGCAGAGAATTCCACTCCATACCCGTTCGCCATATAAATGTGGAAGTGAAACGTTTCGTGCGAATTCTTGGAATATCCAGAACATAGGGGTGGAACCCGAGCCTGCGCCTGGTCCCCCGGTGATGGAAAAGAGAAGGCGGAATGAATTGGTGGTAATTTCCTCGCACACTTGGTGATATATCCTGTAGAATACTGATAAGCAGGCAACTTTACGGCGGTGTTACGGCTTTGCAGCGTCGCCTCTACTAATTCTGAGTCACCTGTAAGCCACGCACTTGACACGCTTGTCGATTGAATCCAAGGTGGCCAGTGGGTATGCAGCAGAGCCATCCCATAGGTGGCAGCACTACCGCTAACCATTTAGATAAATTTCAAACTTGGTATTAGATCTACCACGAAGGATGCAAATACTGTTTACAATCAATGGACCGACAAATTAGATTACGAAGAGAAGAGAAAGATTACGTTTGTTACACCAGAAGGGAGTATGAGAAAAAACTTTCAGATATACTTTAGCAATGTGTTACGCCGCTACCGGCTTTTATCAGAATAAATCAATTTTATTGCAGATTATACGATGATTTACTTATTACCTATTATGAGGTCTACTAAATAATAATAAATATTATTCAAATGAATGTAAAATTTAAGGAGTCGCTTTAGAACATAGCCAAGGAACATATCGTCGGTGTTTTGTAGAAAGGACGTAAGCGACATTTTTCAGGGGATTACGTTTTTAAGAATTTTAAAATATTTACGTCATGTTTTAAATTAAATTTTAAAGCCAAAATTGAATTGCAAACCAAATGGCAAACCAAAATTGGATTTTAAAACAGGACGTAAATATTTTAAAACAGTCGTTATAACCTAAACCATGCCCCGGATATTTTTTTAAAATGTTGCTTACACAAACTTCTACAAAACACCGACCATATGGACTATGGCGCGCATAGTGATCACTTAATAAATAATTTTGTTTCTCATCAACAATCAGAAATGACTCCTAGACGTAATTTAAGTTACCTGCTGCTCATCCAAATGCCAAGCATGGTGTGCGTCCGGAGGAGGCCCAGCCGTAGGGTCCGGCGCTCCGCATATTCTGTTAATAGCCGACCGCGCCTGCAGCACCTCGTCAGCTAACCTTTGGGCCGTGGGAAGAACTTCCGTGTGGTGTTCCGCTATGAGGTACTGGACGAACTTTTGAAGTTGTTGCCTGTCCATTTGGAGGAGGGTTTCTGTAAAGAAAATTCTCGCGGTTATATTGAGCCATGAATGAAACGTTCTTGACGCAAGAGGTTTATTGTTGTACCAAGGGACGGGACGAATAAATGTGGTAAACTATACGCCTGTCCATAACAGTTGCAGTACCGCTCAGAGCCTTATATCAAACACTATCGAAAACTTAATTCAATAATGTAAAAGCGGTAACACACGGCATCTTTTAAAAGTGATGCCACACGCGATTTTAAGCAGCGATGCAAACGCGATATAAGCGCGCGACTGCATCGAGGCAAATGCGCGTGTGTAACGACTCTAAGCAATCACGTTAAGAGTGTAATGAGAACAAAATATTTGCATATCTAATGTTTGGCCGGACATAGTGTATTTTATTATATACTTATTTGTTGCATGCTAAATTCTATACAATCTATATTTTCACAAATAAATTAATTGTGAATAAAAGTTGCCTCTATGGCGGCTGTTAACATTTGAAAGCACAATCCTAAAAAATAATGATGGTTTTAATAAGTGACTTTGGTATTCTGAACAAAAGACGGCTTGAAACATGACCTGACTTCCTTTAGTTGACCTTATTTTGACATATGGCAACCCGGTGTCAATGTGACATTTACCTGATATAGGCACTCTGAGTCGCACGGAGTCAGCATTTCTGATGCGGTAGAGGGCCAGCGCTACCACGTGTTGGCACCAGAAGATGTCACGTGCCTCGCAACTGCACGTCACCCCCGTTATTTTGCATCTATGGACGAAAAGTTTACAAATATTGGAGCGGTTGATCAACTAACGCGAACAGACTGTACAACGTAATGCTCGTGTGCAGCTCGCGAGCCTTTCGCAAACAGGCGCATTTGCGGCGCATTCGCCAGATCTATAAGCACCCTAAAACTAAAATAATTTTCTTAAATAACAACACCACATGAGAAAGCATTTAAACAGCCAATCGATAAAAAAATTTAATCAACAAGGCCTTTACTTCCTCGTGTCCAATCTTCTCTTTTATGTAAGTTGACAAATTACTTTTTACAAAAGGTAACTGGTACACTGCCCTTTGCGTAAAACGGTCTTTCTTTGACGGTCTTAACAATAGGCTTATGGTTCAATGGAACCCTGTTTTTTTTTGCAAATCACAAAGTTGTTTATTTGAATTCGTCTCGTATAACGCCACGAAGCTTTTTATTTAAAAAAAAAAAACAAAAAAGGTAAATGACTATATAAATAACTAAAAAGATATAAACTTTTTTTGCTCCTAGCGAACTTAGAAGTGTTTTATCTGTGGGAAATTAAACACGCCAACTGTAAAGCGGGTATTTCAAACAGACTAATCACATAGCTCCATGACAATGGAAAAAAAAACACTTTTGCTTTATATACATTACAGTCAAGAGCACGTCAAGTGACACTTTGTACTTTGGATATCGCAAGCGGCATAGAGTTGGATTTAAATCTCAAGTGTCAAGCTTGACGTGCTCTTGACCCTGTACCTACAGGTTTCCTGACGGTATTTAGTGTAATGAATTATGACACAAAATCATGAGATATTATTACTTAGTTAAATTAGTTTTTGAATTTGGTTAGTAGACACATTCTTTGCGCAGTAACTCGTCTAAATACCACCTATCAATTTTAGCTAGTGCTGCGCTGCTATATTTCGGATTTAAAGATACATATTCATTTATATTATGGTCGTTAATACTCGGTACACATTTATTTGGTGCAAGAAATATGTAACCTCGCGTTTTGATACAAATTATAAAGCACCTGCAGATTGGCACAGGTTGAGCCGGAGTCATTCAGGAGGCTTATGATGTCGTGTCCCATGGTTGTTAACTTCAGATTGTTCATATTTGCTCATTTGAATGTGTAGTCATAAGGATAGGCTCACCTGTCAAAAGAAACTGTGACCCTGTATAACCTTTCTGGCTCGGAACATGGCGGGACTGCTGCCGGAGCGCGTACCACGCCGCTCAAATGGAAGCCTGCAACAAACGGAAATGTATTGTAATGTAATGTATTTATGTCATGCTTCATTTATTGTGTGAAGATTGCTATAATTTTTGTGAAGTTTTTACAATATTTCCAGTATTTTGCAACTCCCATAAAGGATATACTTTCTGTCTTTTTTCAGACTATTTGAGAGCGTTTTGCTTACGGTCGATTAAAAGAAATGTATTGTTTTTAAGAAAAAGTTTTTATTCCTCGTGTTAGTAGTTACTGGTATAGAAGAAAAAACTTTTTATTCTGACGCACTTTGAATTTTGAGTTTAGAATTTATTGATTTCTAAATCCATTCATTCCTAAAATAAGATAAAATGGCTTGCGTTTTCTATTAATTTTAATATTTTTACATTGACTGAAAGTTTGCTAATGCAGTACAAAATATAAAACTCGTAATAGAAAAATCTTCTCCAATTTTAATCTTTACAGGTACAGTCAAGAGCACATCAAGCTTGACACTTCGGACTTTGGACCGTTGTTATAGCAAGCGGCATAGAGTTTAATTTAAATTTTTAGTGTCAAGCTTGACGTGCTCTTGACCCCGTACGAGTTTTTATTTGTAATATTTATAAAATCCTTTGAAAATTGCCAATTCACAATTTCGTCAGATCACGTCGAAGTTCTTCTTGGGTAACAACGCTATTGAGTATTTATCAATGGCATTCTTTCGACACAGTTTGGGGGCAGTTTCACTTGCGTGCGTAGGTAAACGCAAGTAAGGTTGTTACCACATTGGAGCCTTGTATTTCTACTTACGTACAAACATGTTTGTTGCCCGTGCAGCTCTAAGTAGCAGAATAAATATTTGCGTTATCATAGCAAGAAGAAATTGGAGATTCGACCTCAGCTGTCGTTCATTTATACACATACCTACACCCATTAGGCATGGCACCCACTGACGAGATGTCTCGGCAGGGGATACTTCGGCATTCGCATGCATCGGTACAAATGCGCGGTTGCATCGCTACACTTGGGATTTATAGACGATTGTATCCATGCAATCGCGAGTTTGTATCGATGACAGAATTTTTATTACTGTTCGTCACCTAAATGTCCCTTACCGTCCCGTCAGTGGGCGCCGGGCCTTCCGAGCTAAATTTAAATTTAAGTTAGAATTTACTTGGAAGTAAAGTTTATATTGTATATCAATAATCTTTGTAATCTGCTTAGTAATGCCATATGTATGAATGTGTCACCCCAAGGACGAGGGCCTGGTGAATTGTAGTACAGTTAACCCTTCAACAAGCACCAGCTCCTTGCGTAATGTGTTTTACGATTACTAATAACGTTATGTACTTTTTTTATAATACTCAGTGACGGGACGAACAAGTCGTGCGCCTGGTAGAAAGCCACACGCCTGCCCATAACAGTTGCAGTGTTACTCAGAGCTTTAAATCATAAAGATCTGGGGGCACCGCCACTGCGCCCGTCACCCTGAGACATACGTTGACAAGTCTCATGTTCTTGTTACACCCTTACCCTTCACAACCGAACACAGTAATGTGATCATTACTGTTTGGCGGTAGATATAGGTAAGGTGGCAGTACTTCCCTGGACGCGTTCTTTTAAAGGAGGTCTACTGCTACTAAATTTATTATTTGTATTTTGTGGAGAAGTAAGCATTATTATTCTTATACATTGAAAACGTAAAGTACATATTTGTATTTGTAGATAAGGAAATGTCTTTTCGTGGATCTGTACCCAAGTTCCTGTCTTAAGTTCACGACATCCGTAGCAATTGAGTTTCGCTATGTTATTTACTTAATACTAAAGTTAAGAAATTTAATAAAGCGCTAAAATTAATTCTTAAGGTACGTAACTCGATTTGGTACGAGTTAAAACGTTGCAAGTCTGTTTCTTTCATGGTTTAAGTGTACGTTTGTGTCACGGTGTCAATCGAAGTGAACCACGGTTGGAATAAGTTTTTTTTAGTAGAGAAACGCAATGTTTTGATTTGTCAATCACGTTGTGTAACTTAATGTTGCTAAACATTTGTGTTTATAAAAAAAAATAAAGCATAAAACTGTTAAAACTTTCATTGTAAATGTTGGCAAGGTTTCGACCGTTGCTCTATTGTGGTTTTTAAACTTATTTGCTTTATAGACAACACGAATTATGATGTCAAAAGTCATTGCTATAGCGCCACCTATTCAAGGTCCAAAATAAAGGCCAACCAGATTCTCGTGACGAAAGGTATAATATTGTAAATTGTACCTAGGAACTCTTGGTGTTGTTGTTATTTTTTTTATGTGTACTACGCTGCCCTGATAAGCCGAAAAGCGCTATCTGAATCGGAGTAAGTTTTGAGAAAATCCACTTTTTGTGAATTGTATTTTCGCACCTTCAAAAACAAATCTTTTGAAGATGTTAAAACATATTTATACGTTTTTTTGACTAATAGATTTATTGACAAATTGTCCATAAATGGTACCATTATACCTATTTTGTGAGATACCACTATTTTGATTATAAAGAAAGGTTTCAAAAATTGAGATATAAAATTAGTTCTTAGTGGTTGTTTAAATGTTTAAAGTTAGACAGCGCTATTTCTATTATACCATTAGATGCGAAATTATTATAACCGTTGAATGGTACAAAAAAACTAAAAGGGCGTATCTCAGAGATAGCGATTTTCGGCTTAGCACGGCAGTACGAAGTAATGAAATTTAAGTTCTTAGACTTTAGACTATTTTTTCGGGTCTGAATAGCGTCGTCGGTGTTTTGTAGTAAGGGCGGGCGTATGTGACATTTAGAAAAAAACAATCAGGGGAGCATGCTTTAGGTTTTAACGACTGTTTTAAATTGTTAACGTCCTGTTTTTAAATTCAATTTTGGTTTTAAAATTCAATTTAAAACCTAACCAGATGTATATATTTTAAACAGTCATGTAAACCTAAAATATGCTTTCACGAAAAAACAAATCCAAATGTTGCTTACGGCAAAACACCGACTATAAAAACAGTACATAATAGAATCAAAACTGTTTGTGTATGTGTTTTAGATTTCACGAAAGAGTGGATTCGTGGCCTTTTAAATTATTTAAGACGAAATCATACGAATTGTTGAGGGATAAAGTATAAATATCATAATACATACATACGTATATTTCACGCCTTTTTCCCATCGGGCTAGGCAGAGACAATAGGCTTCCACTTGCTACGGTCCTGGCACACATCTTTCGCCTCAGCAACACGCATCAGTGCTTTCATGCACGTTCGTCGGTTAAGGGTACTCTTGACCTGGCCCTTCTTTAGGATGGCCTCAATTTGGTCATTGTAAGTTCGCCTTGGTCGGCCCTTGCCATTTTGCCCGCTCACACTCGCCTTATAAATCTGTTTCGTCAATCTTCTTTCATTCATTCTCTCCACATGTCCGAACCATCTAAGTATCCTTTTCTCTACTCGCCTTATAAATCTGTTTCGTCCATTCGACGGTTTCGTCAATCTTCTTTCATTCATTCTCTCCACATGTCCGAACCATCTAAGCATCCCTTTCTCTACTCGCCTTATAAATCTGTTTCGTCAGTGTTCTTTCATTCATTCTCTCAACATGTCCGAACCATCTAAGCATCCCTTTCTCTACGCGCCTTATAAATCTGTTTCGTCAATCTTCTTTCATTCATTCTCTCTACATGTCCGAACAATCTAACTATCCCTTTCTCTGCTCGCCCTATAAATCTGTTTCGTCAATCTTCTTTCATTCATTCTCTCTACATGTCATTACATCTTATCTTATCACACTGTTCCGTAATTTATCTATCAGAGTCACTCCAGCCATACTTCTCAAAGCTCTCATTTCTATTGCATTTATTCTACTTTCATTCTTCTTCTGCCAAACCCAACCACTACCATACATAAGTAAATAATTTAATTAAATAAGTATTAAGGATTTTTTCAATCGGTATTATTATATATATTATTATGCTATTAATAATATACATATAATTACTGTCATACCGATTATATATAATTTAATATGATAATGTGATGGTCAATTTTTTGCATGCCTGTCTTATTTTCTAGCGAAACATGTTTGTGCCTACTTTACTATTTGTTACCTTGATCGTCATGTTTCTAGCAAAAACTGAATCTAAAATCGAAATGTATTCGTTATTCAAACCAACCAGATCCGTTTCGGGTTCTTTACGGTCCCAAGTCTGCTAATGTTCAGTGGTGTGCCGAAAGAGTGTCAATGGCAGGATTATGCACGTTTGGTTCAGTCTTGTCAGTGGCAAGCCAATAGCGGTCTTAATACAGACACTTTATCGCGCGTGATACGCGTTGTATAAAAACGAACACGAGCAATCGCGAAAGAACGTTAGCTTAAAAAAATTCAAACAGGTAATCGAGCACGATTGCGCGTGGAAAAAGGCAAAGCCTTTCCCGCGCAAAATCCTGTACTCTCCTGTAGGGCTAGCACGATTGCTACGCGAGAATAGCAGTATCTCGCACTTTATGTCGCTCTCGCGCAAGTCGCATCCTATTGACATTAGGCTGTCCACTAACTAAAACGCGGTTAAGTGACAAATGGTAAATATCCGGACAACAAACAAATATCCGTTTTAAATAGTAAAAGATGGAGTACAAAATTCCCTTTCAAAAATAGTAAAAATTAGTTATCGTGCTCGACTTATTGGAACTTACCCCAACCCTAACGATACATAGCTGAAATATCATTAAACAATTTCAATATTCTAAACTGAGTTATGGTATTTTAATTTAAAATTATTGTGTCATATCGGATGTGCTAGCCCTACTGATCACCCGCCAGAAAGTGACTGTGTAACGGGAGCTATTGAGCTACTTTTCAACAGTAATTGCAATTTTTTTGTATTCTGGCATAGTCCACTAATTACTAGACGTTTCTGTCGATTCCTTTTTACTTACAATTTAAGCGTTTATATCGATTAACGAGTTTTATTTTACAAAAAAAAACATTAATTTGAAGTCTCAATCGTTGATTAAACGAGATAAAAATTAAA